TTTCAAGAATCGTTGAACCGATTTAGAAGAAATTTAGTAGGAACACAATAATTTGTGATCATGGCAAGAGCAAGGACATGGAGGGGGGGGGGATGCCAAAGATGCCAAACTCTCTCTTTGATGACATTACGGTATAAAGTAACAAATAACAACACCAACTACAAAGTACTTCTGCTTTTTTATCCAAAAATAGAAATGCTTCTTTGTTAAAATATACGTGTTAAAGAAATCCAAAAGAACAATACATCTTTTATTTTTTATCTAGCACTTAACAATAGAAAAATTCTCTTTGTAAGAACGCTACGAGCAAAGCAGTTAGTAGTTTTGTTTCTCTTTTTCTTTTACTTGTAAGAACTTTCGTAAAGCGCTACCAAATGATTTCTCCAAGTTTTATCGTTTAAAAACAGGTTTTAAAAGGGTAGATCGAACTCCGTCTTCCATTGGACTACTATGGTAGCGCAAACATAATTTAGCTTAAGGAGGGTTGGTTAACGGGAAAATTAGTAATTTGCGCAATACTTTTAAATTAACTTACTATTATTCTATAAAAAACAAAACAAGTGTTCAATAGGAATACCTAATCGCTGTGTAACGTGTGGAACAGCAAAAAATAAAACCGACTCCAAAAAACCTACACTAAAAAGTAGAAAAATAATTACTAATTACTTATATTAGGACGAATTAATATTTATGTATACCATGATTGATACTTTTGGAGTCGGTGCGGGCAAACTTCACACGTTTCATAATCTTGGCACCGACTCCAGAAGTATCAATCATGGTATACATAAATATTAATTCGTCCTAATATAAGTAATTAGTAATTATTTTTCTACTTTTTAGTGTAGGTTTTTTGGAGTCGGTTTTATTTTTTGCTGTTCCACACGTTACACAGCGATTAGGTATTCCTATTGAACACTTGTTTTGTTTTTTATAGAATAATAGTAAGTTAATTTAAAAGTATTGCGCAAATTACTAATTTTCCCGTTAACCAACCCTCCTTAAGCTAAATTATGTTTGCGCTACCATAGTAGTCCAATGGAAGACGGAGTTCGATCTACCCTTTTAAAACCTGTTTTTAAACGATAAAACTTGGAGAAATCATTTGGTAGCGCTTTACGAAAGTTCTTACAAGTAAAAGAAAAAGAGAAACAAAACTACTAACTGCTTTGCTCGTAGCGTTCTTACAAAGAGAATTTTTCTATTGTTAAGTGCTAGATAAAAAATAAAAGATGTATTGTTCTTTTGGATTTCTTTAACACGTATATTTTAACAAAGAAGCATTTCTATTTTTGGATAAAAATAAATAAATAGCTAAGAGCATTATTTAATTTGAGATGTAAATAAAATAGAGCAGTATTTTGTAGTCATACCTACACCCTGTATGAATGCTGGGGAAACTTGAAAAGAAAGAAAGAATAAAAACTACTACAGAATTCTCTGAGCTCTCTTGCAAAGAGAATTGGTAGTTTGTGTTAAATAAAAAATACTTAAAGTACGAGTTTTTTTTAGATCTTTTGCAAGTGGAAGATATTATACTTCTATGCAACATGTAATTGTATCCCTAAAAACTCTATTACTTTGTGTGAAGTTATCTTCGAATCGGTAGTCCGGAAGGTGTAGGTAGTAGTAGATATAGATACTAAATACTTAAAATTATAGGCAATTTATAACGATATTATTAGCCTAGGCGCAAACCACCAACTTACAGTTGGCCGATAGTTGGGTCGGGCTGTTAATCAGTTGGTATGAAGATGTATGAACGTGCGCACATTACGCCGAATTGGTATCGGCCGATTCTTCATACAAATCAGAATCGGGCCCAACTATCGGTCAACTAAAAGTCGGTGGTCTGCGCCTTAGGCTTAATCTACATAGGCGAGGCCGTGGGCAATAGCTAGTAATCCCATTAAACTTTTCCCTAGCACCAAAAGCTCCCGTTTATTTGTCAGAATATTCATTTGGACGATTTATTTTTTCAATTCATCCTCTCGTCTCGTTTTAATTAAAATTGTTTTCAATTCCGTCGTTTTGTTTGAAACAAATTAGTTGTTTTGTCTTTTATAATAGAAGCTTTGCACTTGATTGATATTTAAGAAGGGAATTAGGATTTTGTTAATGTTCGTTCTTTGAAAAGTTGTTGTCCATTTGTTTTGTTTAATGGAGATTTTAATTCATTATTTTCAGGTAAGTAAAGTCCTATTTATAAAATTGAAAATTTCGACTCATCATTTCAGCCATATGACGCCCACTGCTGAACATAGGCCTCCCCCAATGACTTCCACATCGCACGGTTGGTAGCGGCCTGCATCCATCGCCTTCCTGCTACCTTTATCAGGTCGTCAATCCACCTTGTGGGTGGACGTCCCACGCTGCTTTTTCCGGTACGCGGCCTCCATTCCAGAACCTTGCTGCCCCATCGGCCGTCAGAAAATTTCGACTGATTCACCCAATTTCCAAGTAGCTCAGATGGTGAGAGCAGTGGCCCGGCAAACGAAACGTCGTGGGTTCTATTCCTACTTTAGGCAATTCAATTTTGTCAGGTTATTAAAAATTAACAAAATAATGCCTCTATAAAAACTTTTGATAAAAATAAGCGTATTAAAAAGATCCTCTCGAAGCGCGAACGCTGACAAAACGAGGATTCAAGAGTGGAGGAAGAGCAGATAGGCAATTATCTCAACTGAGAGGCGAGGGCTCTCCAGTGAGGGACGCCTCTCGATCCAGGGTCGCGCCTCCACTTTTGCGCATTGGGCATTTTTGATATCAAAATAAAAAAATCTTTATTTGTTTAGTAGTTAAATAGTCGTAAAGGTAGCAGGGAAGCGCTGGACGCAAGCCGCTACCAATCGATCAACATGGAAAGCATTGGAGGAGGCCTATGTTCAGCAGTGGACGTCATATGGCTGAAATGATAATGATGAGTTAAATAGTTCTCACAAATCATCAAAACTTCGTTTCGTAGCCCTTCAAGTAGGTACCAGCGAATTGAGACACAAAAGAATTCAATTGTTACCGCGGTCTCATGTGACCACTTAATAAGATGGGTCCACACATGCCGGGCAGCACAGCACGTGCATTTTTTAACCTGTAACTCTGCAAGGCAGTCTGAAAGCCGGCGGCAAACCCGGCGGCATGTGTGGATACGCCATTTAGGGTGTCACATGTTGAGGAGCCTTTACATATCTGATTATTCTTTGCCCTACTAGCGCTTCGAGGTAAATATTGGCAAATACCTACTGAGAAGAAACAAACTCAGTCACCACTGTCTGTATACATTCAGAAACAACTTATTGTTACTTACCACGTATTCTCGCTAATAGAAACTGCCCTTATGACCCTCATTTACCGCGAGACTGCGTCGTAATTTTAATTATAGTAGTACCTTTACGTATTTAGTATCATGCTAATGACTAGATTACTACCGTGCTAATATTTGTTAGAAGAACACACTATTATATTTCAATAAATAAATATAATAAAAAGTTTTAGGTACAGACTTATTGACTAAGAGGCGAGAGCCCTCGACTGAGGGCCGGCTCTCGATCCAGGGTCGCGCCTCGACTTTTGCGTATTGGGCATTTTTAAAATTAAAATGAAAAAATCTTTATTTGTTCAAGTGGTAGTTCAATTAGTTCTTAAAAACTATGGAAATCACTCGTAGTTCTTACGAGTGGGATCACCACAATAGTCGGGCGGCGCCGCGGCGGCATGATTCGAACTCGCGTTCCTCGAATCACGAGTTAGCCAGTCCGGTACCCCTTCTCCGTTAGGCTATCGTTTCTTCAGTAATGTAATTGTATACTTAAGCTGGGTTGCACCATATACTTTAACTTTGACAAACGTCAAAAATCTGTCAAACTCCATACAAAAGCACCGGCGTCTTAGTTACGGTTAAAGTTAGGTAGCATTACCGTGCTAATGTCTACCTACATTGATTGGTACAAGAAAAGACAATAAATAATTAATGGTAAAAAGTTTTAGGTACAGAATTATCTGGAATTCTGGACTGAGAAGCGAGAGCCCTCGACTGAGAGCCGGCTCTTGATCCAGGGTCGCGCCTCAGCTTTTGCGTATTGAGCATTTCGACTTGAGATGATCTCAAGGGGCGTATTTTCTGAGTTATTAAATTCTGGTGAAAGTATGTCAGCTTGAAAATCGGTCTAGGGTTTGATTTTAGTGCGGAGTGTCTGTAACTTAGAGAATTACGCCCGTATTCATAAACAAGACTATGAGGTCTCATAGTGTGCGTGGACGCACAGGGTCACACACGAACCAATCACAAAGCTCTATTTAACGCTGTGCGTTCGATTTGCTGCTTTACAATCCGATAAAAACGCATACGTTTACTATTTAGCTTACTTGCGATACAACAACACTTAGTTCGGTTTTTATTGGCGGTCAAGATGTAGATCCTGGCTACGCACACCTACACAGGAGTTGCAGCGGTAGGAATAGTCCCGTTAACTTACGACATACCATGCTCTATTGGCTGTTTAGATTTTAACAAAAAAAGTTCCTAGTCTAATCAACCAAAAAGTTTAATAATAAAATTATTACAAAACATTTTAGAAACAAAAAAAAACCAGAAAAGCTAGCTTAACAACCGCGATACTGGCCACTACATCTGAAAAATAAAAAATAAAATCTATTCCATTCCCGATGGTGTTTTGTTTTCTTTATCTTCAGATTTAATTTCTTTGTTGTTTTTGGAAATCATGCCCTGTTGAATAACGAATTATGTTCTTAAATAATAATAATAACAACGTTTTAGCCTAGGCGCAGACCATCGATTTTTCGTCGGTCGATAGTTTAGTCGGGCAGTTGATCAGTATGGGCATGTATGGAAGTGCGCACATTACACCGATTTCATTTGACCGATTCTTCATACAAATTAAAATCGGGCCCAACTATCGGCCAACTAAAAATCGGTGATCTGCGCCTAGTCTTAAGGATGATTGTGTCGCGATTCAATTAAAAACGTCATTAATTTGTTACAGATCGCGAGTGCCCTGCGTTGGAACAGCCTGAAATTGGGAAAATCACGCTGACGGGAAACCTCTTCGGGGACAAGTGAGTATATTTATTATTTATAATTAATTTTAGAGTCAGAATTTTATTATTGAAAAAAACGTTTTGAAGATTTCGTGATTTGGAAGTCAAATTGTAAAAGTCCTCCGGGGAATGTTATGTCTGTTTGGCTAAGGAAATTTATTTATTGTGGTTTAAATTATAGCTTTGAAAATATATTATTACATGCTTACTTTTTCCCGTTGGTGTGTACCTAACATTGTACTAAAAAATATTTAATAATGATTATTATTCCACAGAGCCGTATACTCCTGTCCTCACGGGTACCACGTGGTCGGTCTCCAGAGCAGGAGTTGCCAAGCGGACGGCAAGTGGGCAGGACAAGCCCCGGCTTGTAAAGAAAACAGTAAGTTTCATCATCATCATCCTCATCATCACCACTATCACCGTCATGTGCTGGGCTAAGATGGACGCCGTGATAAAATCTTATCGATGAATTAGAAGACAGTAAAATCGATAAAATGTCTCGATAAAAATGTATCGTGGCGCGCATCCTAGGCACATACAGGCGCATACTAGAGACAGTTATAATTTGTTCTAGGGGGCTTAGTTCAGGCAGTGGTCTGTTCACAGAACATTGAAAGAGGTTGTTCTGTGGGTCTGGTGTAAGCTGAAATTATGATGATAATGAAGATCCGATCAAGAAAGAATAAAAGATACAAACATTTACCTGATCTTTTATATGAAAACTATCACCGAAGCTCATCAACCTACCCAAAATGAGAAATGAAATTATTATAAGAAAACAAAGTTCAAAATCCATTGAATTAATTCCTCATTTTGTGCACATACTGGTGACAACATTGTATAGGCAGGGGAGACCGAGTAGAGTTGTGACATTGTCGATTTTTGAAACCTATTAGTTACCTATCAGCGAGTTCGTAAGCGCGTATTTGTTAGCTCGAGACTGAAACTTACAAAAAACAAGCTGAATAACAGTTACAATAACTTCCAAAAATCGACATTGTCACAACAGCTCTCCTCTATCACAACTCTCCTCGGTATCCCCTACATGTGTAATTAATGATGCCAGCACAAGACACACGCTAGGATGCATAATAAGCAATCAGTTAGATACACGGAATGTGATGCAATTAGCAAGTACTAATTAGGTCAGTTATGTTAATTGCTACTCGTAGTTCAAAATATGTACAGGAACCGAACTACGCTTAAATAAGTGCCAATATTATTTATTAAGCCTAAGTGACTGATGCCCGTTTTCGCCATCAATCCCAAATTTTTAAGTGACCCCTATGGTAACACATAACAGAAATTTTGTTTTCAAAGGGGCCCCTTAAAAATTAGGGATTGATGGTGAAAACGGGCATAAGTATCTCAGATGGAAGAGCAGTCGCCTGGCAAGCGAAAGGTTGTGGGTTCCATTCCCACCTTAGGCAATTTCCATTTTTTTCAAGCTATTTAAAATTTATCACTTCATCATCATCATCAACAGCCCTTTAGAGTCCAATTTGAATTTGAATGCTGGACTATGAGCCTCCTCCATCATAGTGGAGGGTTTTATCATAATGCCCACACTTGGCAGGATTGGAGATCGCAATTTAAAAGATTGATGTTTTTCATAGAGCGCTGCTGCCCGTTCTAAGTCGCCTCTTACGACACCCGCGGGAAGAGTAGGGGTTGGTGACAAATGTATTCTACTCTGCCGTCACCACACTGACGATCTTTTACCATCAGTCTAACTCTTCCGTCTCCCTTTCAGTCTACTGCCTCCAGCCTCCCACCATCGAGCATGCCCGTCACTCCGCTCTACCAGAGCAAGCCACCTTCGACCTGGATGCCACAGTTCAGTACAACTGCCACACTGGATACGTCACCAACGGCTTCCCGAGGGCGAAGTGCCTGGCTATCGAAGGACAGGCCTCGTGGTACGGGCCTGATATCAGCTGTGAACGTAAGTTTACTTTTTCTGTGTTGAATATGATATGAATGTAATGATTTTTTGAACCAATCCAATAAAGGATATGCCTAAAGATTGGACTACTGGAAAACCAGATTTACTTACTGTTAAATGTCGCACCTTTGACCATTTTAACTTGGTAATTGAGAATGAATAAACTACATGAAACACTTAATATCATCTGACAGGAGACACAATAATGATCCTTAATATCTCCAGTCGTCAAACTTAAAAAACAAAAGACCTTTAATATAGCTACGCATGTATCAAAGTTTTGGTAATGTGTAATAGAAGTCAATAGGTTAGGAAGTATTTCCAGCCCGCTCATGCGGCGAGCCAGGCAACGTCCCCCACGGATGGGTGACCGCAGACTGCCATACCTTCGGCTGCCGAGCCGTAGTCCAATGTGGCCAAGGCTCCTAGCTGATCAAGAATGCCTTTCTATGTTTTACCTTCCCTAACAATCATGTATAATAGACACCTGTACGATAGAATAAGATAGGATAGAAATTAGGACAGATACATGTTAGACAAGGAATGTAAAACCTCATCGTTACCTCCAGCCCGCTCTTGCGGCGAGCCAGGCGACGTCCCCCACGGATGGGTGACCGCAGACTGCCACACCTTCGGCTGCCGGGCCGTAGTCCAATGTGGCCAAGGGTTCGAACTGGTTGGGAAAGCCGAACGCTACTGCCAGTCCGACGGGGCCTGGGCCCCCAAGGAGCTGCCTACCTGTGTCCGTAAGTAGACGATGTGATGATGAGCAGTTTTGATGATGAGTCTGATCTGGAGCAGTGATCAGTCTTGGATTATACCAGTTTTTTTACAAACCGTTTCATACCCTTTAAGATACACGGATTCAATGATGATTTTAAGGAGAGCCTCTACGATTTATCAGTGTATTTTTATGGCGTTCAAAGTTTTAATTTCGGTTGTTTTAGTATAGAGATCTTTTACTTTATTGATGTTTCTTAAACTTTAATATCAAAAGAATGTTCTTGCAGACTCATTATCAAAACTATTGGAACATTTTGAAACTAACGCAAAACTTGGCATTGCTTCGTGACAATGTAGTTGCCGATCAGTGTCGTCTATCATTTGGAATGTTGCATGGTTTTTCGGATTTTGTGGATTTTTCAAGTGTCTACATAATTGTTATACGATGACTAGTTGGCATGTAAAGCTTGGTACTTGGCTATTATCATGGCTATCATTGAGCAATACCATTGTCATGACGCAATTAGCAAATGGTTCTCCCACTAGGTCGATTTTTTTTAAATCAACATTAAAAACTTTATTAATTTCGTACTCAACATCATTACGGTCGAGTTTGATTGTTGAAATGTATAATTCATCACGACGAGTAAATTTGAATATTTTATTCCAAATTGAAAGTGTGATTTCTTTGACATTTAGACCGCAAACCAGTGGGACTTCCATTAAAGTTAGATGTGTTTTAATGAAATGTTTTAAAAATCTTTTTTCTCCTTTCCTGCTGCTGAATAGAAGGAGGAGAGAAGGACACAGTTTGAATCGATCATAACATTATGTAGTGTCACAAATTTGTTATTAAACTATATTAGTTGTTATTACTATAAAGTTCTATACAACTACGACTTTCCTAAATTAAGTAAAAGTCAAAACATTATTATGGCCATGATAAAATAATGTCAAAAATACCTTTACTGCCTATATAGCCAACAATACTTGTAGCTATATTTACGTAGATGATATACTAATATTCTTTAAGTAGTGAAGCCTTTAATCGATGTTGAAATTGCAAGAATTTATTGTAAAGAATTTCATAACTTTATCTTATACTATGCTGTAGCGAAATAAAGACAAAAAATTAAATGATTGTTTCATTTACTGCATGCTTCGTTTCCTCTTGCATGTGAATTTTCAGCTTTACTAATCATATAGTTTCATTGATGTCTTCTGAGTATTAATATCGTGATTCAGCAACTTTTGCCAGCGCCATCTGTGATTTAAATGGAGAGTTACGTTAAAGTGACGCGTGTCGCCATCTAGTGGTCACTCAGGTGCAGTGCCCGCCGCCGGAAGCGCCGCGGCACGGCAAGGCAGTGTACACATCGTGCGCTTACAACTCTGTCGTGTCGTACGAGTGCAAATATGGGTACAGACTGGTCGGGGATGCGACGAGGAGATGTGGAGCGGACAAGAAGTGGTCCGGGGCGCAGCCTGTGTGCAAAGGTGAGATTTAAATAAATATCTCAAGATATTAAAGAGAGGATTGAAATCTCTCACAGAATCTTTATCTCAGGCGCGTCTGACCAAAACATTGCGTAAATTGCGTTTCTTTCCAAAAAAGCATTTAAAATTTAATTAATTTATTGGGATGGACAAACTTTCATCCCCTTAGTTCCTTTTAACATTTATGTTTGCTACATCAGGTAGCAAAATATCCAAGGTATGCTGCTAGGTTTCATTTATATCTTTGACAAAATTTATTTAAAATCAACATAAAAGAGATACAGTTCGAGTTACAAAGCATGAATATTTTCAGAAATCAACTGTGGTCACCCCGGTCAACTATGGAATGGTTGGCTTGAAAACATTTCTTCGGGGACTGGTTTGGGGGCATCTATCATCTTCAGATGCCAGGATGGCATGAAAATGGAAGGCAACGGGTCAGCGATATGCCAGAGCGATGGCACTTGGAGTCACCCTTTGCCGATGTGTTTAGGTAAGGCATAATTTCCTTCATATAATACTCATCTTAGTTTGGTTAATTTTTTTTTTAAGATTATTAGCAATTTGTATTACCCAAATTACTAATAGTCCCATTAGCCCCTCGTGGTAAGCTAAATGAGCTTGTGTTACGAGTGGGCTCACCACAATAGTCGAGCGGCGCGGTGGGTTTCTAACCCGCGTTCCTCATTCGCGTTCAATTATGCATGTAGTAGCAAAGTAATTAGTTGCACATGAAACTCCTCTCTGTCAATATGTTTAGAGCCTTCTACCTTACTATTTTGTGTTTTAACTGAAAACAAAAAGGCATCAAAAGCCTTTGAAAAAATCAAACGTTTTACGATCTGTCTACAACGTGCTACTTAACTGCGCACCTTGCTGGAATGCGACTCTTCCTCCCATTACCCGCACACCTCCCCGCGTTCGTCCCGTCCGTACCTGAGCGTCTATGTGACGTCACGCTGCCAGGTACGCAGTTAACTCGACCACGTTGTATGTTATTATTGCTACAAATAATAAAAGGATAATAACATTAATTTCAGCGCCCTGCGTGGTACCACATGTGTCTCAAGGACGTGTAGTATTGGTTGAGAACAAGACCGGAGAAAATGAAACACAAGAAGGGAACACCCAGATAGTCGGCAGTTCCTCTATGGTGCAACATGGTAAGCATCACCAAACCAATTCACCACCATATACGAGTGAGACAGATTGGCAAACAACGTTGAATACACCATACATTTGTTTTCGAAAGATTGAGATGAAATCTACAAACCTTGAAAACAGTAATATTTTTGGAAGGTGTTAAAATAATATCCAAAATCAAACCGGTAACCTAAATACCCCAACCACTTATTTCTCCAAGAAGATAACATAATATTTAACTGGATCAAAAAGCTGAAATTCGTATTTTGTAACATTTCCATTTTACATCCAGCAGTAAACTACTATTAGGGTAAATCGATGATAATGATGATGAATACAGTCTAATATGTTCTTTTCCAGGTGAAATAATAGTAGTGGACTGTGAAAAGAACTACGAGTTTCCCTCGAACAATGCTGCGGTCACCTGCAATAATGGCACCTGGACGCAGATACCTAGATGTCAACCTGCCAGGTAAAGCCTTTTTCTATGGTTCTTTACACTCATTATCCTTTTAGGTTCCCATAAATCCAAGCCTTTATTTCCCATTGGGCACTCTGGGCAGGAACTTACGGCCCTGCGATTGATGGGAGCCCCCCTGTCTGCTCTCAAAAAACCTGTGAATACCAAATATTATGAGTAATCGCTTGACTTACTTGACTTAAGGTCCTGTGTACCCTAGATGGGGCAGAGGGCGTCCGCAACAGTCCTCCATCGCGTTCGGCCTCTCGGTTTTTATAAGGGGTTGCAATCCAGAGCTTGCTTAAGGACTGGGGTCTCTTCGAAGAGTGTGGCCGATCCAGTTCCACTTGCGGCACTTGTGTAATCGCAAAAAAAATGCATTATCCTTCAAGGCCCGCGAATCTAGACACAATAGATAATAATCAATTGTTATGACATTAATGAATGCCGTCTGGGACTCAAGCGGTTAATTAACAATTTCTGTGACTTTTTAGGAAAAGTCCTTCTTGATTCATAAATGCCTAGGGCCACCAGTATATTATTAAGACGGCCCTATCTAAGTGTGAAAGTCAATGTCCTCCTTAATTTACATTTTCAGATGCAAGAGAATGCCCCGAAATCCTCGTAATGGAATGGTGATAGCACCCAAAACAGAACATGGTATGAAGGCTCGGTTCAGATGTAAGGACGGCTTCGAGCTGAAAGGGAATCCAATCGTGGTCTGTTCCTTTGGGAACTGGAGCGGGGAAGCTCCGAAGTGTGAAGAAGGTACGCTGAGAGTAAAGTCCGGTCGCCGAAGAGATAGAATTTCGTACAATGACCCCAAGCTACCCATCCTTATCGCTCACGCGTAATTATAATGCTGTCACGCTCGCTAACGGGCGGCCGCAGTGTGAGTGTGCGAGCTTGAGGTCACTGTACGAAATTCTATCTGCTCAGCGACCGGACTTTATCTTATTTACTTCTTGAAGTGGTATGGCTAATTTGTGTTCTGCACTGGTGAGAATATGATCCAAAATTCTTGTTTACTTTTTAAGTATATTTGCTTTCTTTGCCTTTCAGTATTCTGCCCATTCCCCGGTTACATAGTCAATGGAAAAGTACTCCTCGTTGGAAACATGGGCCTGTATGACTATCGACCATACGTCAAAAAGGTAATTTGAGCCTTGTTTCTTTGTTTTAAGATTCAAAAACAATGAACATTATAAACATGATAAATCACTTGCTTAAAAAGTTGGTATTTATAAAGTAACATTGCAGGTGGTAAACAATAAACAGATCATGTATGAATGTGAAAAGGGATACGTACTGTCAGAGGGTCCCCCAGGTGCCACTTGCGTTGGTGGCCATTGGAGTCCTAGAGAATTACCAAAGTAAGTTAATGACTTTAATGTGACATCTTCCTTTGATGCAGTGGTTCATAAAATTGTAAAAGAATAAGCATTATGATTGCCTTTTAGGTGCACTCTATACCAACACCCACGCATAAGATGGAGTCGAAGGCGCCGTTCCATCACAGAACCTGAAATCCGACATCGAAGGTCAGCGTATCTCCGTCAATACTACACCAATATTAGACGCCGCACGGACCCTACACAGCAATACATAGATCAGCTATATGACAAATACAACCATGACACCCAAAAACCTACGCTACGCCATGCAAATTTTAAACTAATGAAGAAATACGACTCAGGGTTTGAAGAAGACCTATCAACTGGTACAGGACATGAAGGCAAAGATGACGAAAACTACCCAACAGCTGTTTACACTGTTTACAACGTTCATGGAGAACCTATAGGACACAGACTATATTCTTACCAACCTGTATACGAACCTGAAGATGATGAAATAGTTGATAACGTCAATACATCTGAGTACGAAGATTCAGATGAATTTGATGACCTCTCACATGTCACCGTTCTAAAGGGAGGACTCTTTCCAGATCATAGAAACGACAATAGCATTAACGCTGAAGATATAAATAAACTGAAACATGATTATTTTGAACGATACGTCGATAAACGAAGAAAAAGGTTTTCAAATGCGAAAACCAGCGAAGAAACTAAAAAGGATATAAATTTAGAACTAGAAGCTTCCAGCACGCTTCAGGTGACTACAAGTACACCAGACAAAGCAAAAAAGTCCAGGATTAAACGATTTGTAAATATAGAAGAATCTGATAGGGAAATATGGACTACAAGTCCTGGCGCCGTAGGTGCGGAATCATCTGTATCGACGAATGAAGTTGAGAACGATTTTTTAAAAGTGATACCATTAGATTATAATACTCATAATGAGACTGAAAAGGAATATAATAAGGAATTGGCTCTAATACCGCTACAGTATAATAATACGAATTCTACTGAGGTTGATAATATTTTAGATAAGCGAGACAAGAGGACGAGTAGAAAGACTGATAGACTGAATCAAACGACAGCTACTGTACCAAAATCGTGAGTTAACAAAAGTAATGAAATAAATTAATATATCAAATACTTTTCACTAATTCTAACGTCTTTTACAGAGGTCGTGAAAGCAAAGGTAGGCTTCGGCAACAGCAAACCGATGGCACTGAAGAAGCAAGTTCAGAAACGAAAGAAATCATCGAAGGGGCAGCTCAAGGGAATCAAACTGAGAAGGGCAAGAAGGGAAGACCGAAGAGCCCTTGCGAACCGATAGAGAGCGAACCTTACGTGAACATAGAGATTGTGAAGTATGGCCGAGACCCAAACAATACCTTTAGCTCTGGTAAAAACGATTGTATATTAATTTAGAATTTGATTTAGATTTATCCGAAAATTCTTATAATTCCAAATTACTTTAGGCAGGTAATTGTTTCTGATATAGTTTGGAATCGACTCTAGCCAGAGGTTGAAGGCTAGTAAAGTCTGAAAATCTACGAAAAACAGAAAATACTTATTTTACCAAAAAATCTCTAAAACTGGCTTATTTCTACAGGCACTATCGTCAGAGTGGCTTGTGGTAAAGGCTACGGACTGAATTTGGAACCAAACGCTACAGCCAAATGTGTTCGGGGAAGGTGGAAGCCAGAGAAACCGAAGTGCGAAATATGTAAGATAATATTTATTTGTTTGTCTAAATTAGGTGCCTAAGAAAAACCATTTGGACTTAACAAAAATGTAATCTTTGTCTATAGCTTTTAGTATAATATGTCTGAAATTAACTCTTGATATTGAATTGATTATATTATCTGTAAAGAATGACGTGATTTTCAACTTTTTTTCATGTCTAATTTTTAATTTGCTCGCTTTCCAATTACAAAGAATGCCGCTTGGAATTAGAATGGCATTCGCATTGGGTAAAACTAAAATCTTTACACTATTGCATTGGAATGATGACCCTTCGAATGCGCATGATTTTACAGTTACAAAACCTGGATTATTCCAACCAATATCCTCAAATCTAAGAATAGGAAAAATGGGAATAGTAAGTGTCATTTTTTTTGTGAATTGTAGTGCCCTGTCACGTGCCTTCGACAGAATATGGGATATACACAATGCCTTCCGACCCCGGCCATCTGATGACGGCCAGCCAAGTACTAGGATCATCGGGACTTACTCATGGAGAGGAGAAAGAATTGAATGAAACTGATCCAGTACCCAATGGGCAGGTCATCCACTTCTCTTGTGAGTATGGGTAAGTTATTGCTTGTTACTTGGGTTTTTTGGCGATTTTGAGATGAAGCAAAATTTAAAGGGCCAATTTGTAACTTTCAGGTACAACGTCCAAGGTCCAACCAATCTTCGCTGCTGGCTTGGGGAGTGGGCTGTTACAAGCATGCCAGAATGTGTGGCAGGTACTGAAGAACCTTTGCGTTTTGAATATAACCTTTTCCTTTTCTAAAGTATTATCTTTATCAGTCTACTGATCATAGCAAAGTTGACTTACCTAGGTACTACCTACTTTTATTATTTCTGTCCACCACACTGAACAAATATTTTAACTGCTTTAAGGATGCAGTTACCAGTTAGTTAAATAGTAGAGTGAATTGTCTTCTTTCTAGTAAAATGACGTTATGTGAAAAGTTATTTCACGCATTATTTCTTACACACAACTACTGAGGAAGCTAATATTGTTCAATGCAATTGGTCCAAACTGTATGTTCTCTACTAATCTTTTCTGGTTGGAACACGAATGTTGACGAATTATAAACGAACGTTTATAATTCGTCAACATCATCGTTTTCTTTATAATGCTGTTACTCCAGTTTTATGTGTTATAGATCTATTGTATTTTTGTAACACATTGTGATATTTGTCTATGTCGCTGTAATGACCTAAATAACAAAAAATCTCTCCTTTTCGTTCATTTCCTGGTACATTGTCCAAAATTGAATTGTTCTTTCTTTCCTTCTTCATCAGCTCCCTGCGAACTCCCCCTCTTACACGGCGCGACTTACGAAGCAGGCTACCGAGCTGGTCTGACTGTAGCCCATGCATCATCAGTCAACATAGCGTGTGAGGCCGGTCGGTCGCCGCCTGCCACACTGAACTGCCACTTGGGGCGACTGCAGCCGACTGTGCATGACTTCTGCCGGCCTTTAGGTAAGTGTAGATAATCAAATTCATTCATCTTCATCATTTCAGCCGTAGGACATCCACTACTGAACATGGACCTCCCCCAATGATTTCTATAATGGCCGGTTGGTAGCGGCCTGCATCCAGGTCTTGCAACCTTTATGAAGTGAAATCACTGGGGGGAGGCCCCTATGGCTGAAATGATGACGATGATTCCAGGTGGTTTATGATGGGACTATTTTTGATTCCACTATTATTGGAGAAAATGTCATCACCACCACATAAAATTTCTTCAATAAGGACCCTACTTTGGATATTATAATGTGTGTCAATGTTCTGTGCTCGTAGTCCTAAAAAGATACTCGTAAGTTCTCAATGTCCTCAATAATGTAGGTAACCTTTTGCACATGATTTTTACTAAGATGAAGGCTACTTTTACTAAGATTTGATGATGATGATAATGTTTACAGCCAATTTGTCCCGACCTCGACCAACATCCGAGTACCAAAGTGGGTCTGACATCGTCAGGGAAGACATATCGGAACTGGAACCTGATTTAGATGGGAAAACTGTCACAGAATGTGGACCACCAGCTAGGTAACGAAAACTCACAGAATTATCACCTACCCTACATCTTTTAACCCTCAAACAAAGATTTAAAGCAACAAAAAAATTATAAATTCTCGTTCTTGTGTCAATGTCGATTTTGTCAAAGCTTTCATTGTAGCTTATGTGTGTTATGTTATTTGATAACATCTCATTCGGAGATACCGCAACATTCATGTGTTTTGGGCTGACTTTTCCGGTGCTTATCTAATTAGCTACGGTCTAATTGGTTTACTCATCATCTATCACAATTACTTCCCTTATATTTTAATCTGCACATCCATCCATCACTGACTTATTAGATATCTAAAATGTGATTTTGGCAGTCCTCTGTCTAAGTAGGCATGTGCTGAAATGATAAATTGCTCGTACCATCAACTCACTGTCGATTTTGATTGGAGGGAAGGAGTGTAGCAAATAATAATATGCTGAAATGTCCACAAAGTTTACAGTCAACAAACTAACAGTCACATCGTTTAATATGACCGATAAAACACAATTATATTCTAAAGAACTTAATTGTCTTTGGATGGATGTATACTGAAAGCGATTGCTATAGATGCTGAGTTGCACAATTCGACAGCAACTTCCAAAAGACACTGGAAAAGTGAACTAGCCCATGTGCTTTGAACGCATTCAGTTAATTTTCCGTTTCGTTTATTGTTTATTTTGCTATTGTATGGTGTATTGTAATCGTCTCTGGTAAGTTGTTCTCAAAACTACCAATTTTGATAAGAATTTGACAACAACTTACCAAGATGGCATCGTCCACTTATAAAGGATGAGGAGTTACAAAAAAATAATGGTTTTTGCAAAGAGTCTGCGTTTCTTATTTGCTGGCTGGATGATAGGCTGAAGGGAACACAGGCCTTCAGGGATGCGAAGCCCTGGTGAGAGCCTTATAGGTTCGGACTTTTGCTTATTTAAAATCTTCATCATATTTCTGATCATCACCACAACTTCGTCATCAATATCGATAACATCACCATTATGATCACCAACTATTTGGGCTCATCCATCTTTCCGACTTTTTCAAACACTTTTTTCTTACTGTTTCTTATAAAGAAACTTTTTCCTCATAAACAATAGGTCTTCAAATCCTCAGAAGGCAGGGCTTAGTTATTGTGTAGGTTCATATAAAATGTTTTTATGTATGTCTGTTCAGTCAGCTGTTTGTATGGCCGTGGTTTTGGCTTTTTATGTCTTGGCCAAGCTTAATTTTTGTTGCTCAACTTTTTGATACATTTCTTCTTGGTGTTTAGTGCATGCTGTCGAGACGTGTTTTATATTGTCATTTATAGAATTTCAACAAATTTTTTGAGACACTTAAATCTTCTAAAAATGAAATCTTGATGGACATAAAAAAATAAAACATCCTAAGGACTTTATTTCAAGCTTTCTTTACTAACTTCATTCAAAATGATATCAAAACCTTGAAAATTTCTCCCAAACATTCCTCAGGGTCCAGGGAACTCTGATATATCGAGATGGAGCCGAAGTCAATGGCACCATGGGCATGGAGGGATATCCCCATGGAACTGAAATAACGTTCAGATGCATAGCATCAATTATGGGTGAAAAAACAACATGGAAGTTGATATGCGAACACGGAAACTGGGTTGGGAAAAGTTTCAATTGTGGTAAGTGTCCTGAGTTTTGTTTACATTTCTTTATTTCTAAATTAGATACATCATCATCTTGCATCTTACGTTATCTAGCTGGACGTTCTACGGTATTTCCCAATTAAAATATTAAAATAAATAATCCGGTTTAATTGTCTTTAAATAATTTTAAAGTCATGAATTTTCTATAATTATTACCTACGCACCTAAATGAACTTAATTTATAAGTTTTTTTACTTCAAGTTGATACCTACTAATATCGGCTGCTATTTTTGAAATAGCAATGTTGCAGCTAATGAACTGTAAGCTATAATAATTATGCTAGTATGTACCATGTTTGGCTCATAGGTTGATGGTAGAATAAATCAATATGGACTATGTTAAGCGCTGTCATTAGCATTTATCTAAGTATAGCAATTATTATTGTCATTTAGTATGATTTAGTACGATGCTGTAATTACCTATTGCACTGTCATGGTGTCTGCAGAATACCAACGTTATGGCTTCATATTGAGCAGAGACCACTAGTGCAACATTTTCATTTTTTATTTTCTTTTATATGGTAACAAATAAACATTTTTTTCTTTTTTTAATTAATGCAAAAGCACTGTTTAATACCCAATTCAGCACGAGACTATACACGTTCATAATCGTTCGTTCAGCCAAATGACGTCCACAGCTGGACAGGCCCTCAATTATTTCCACAATGACCTGTCCTATATTGTATTGTTACTTACAAAATATGTTTTTCTCACACATAAGAGGAGGACTTGTTTGCAGAGGAGCTGGAAGCCCAAAGCGAGGAGTTGCTGAACAATAACAGCTGCACGTTCAGGAATGAAGAGCCTCATGTCGTCTCTTTCTACAACGACATGCAGATCACTGAGACGGTGGACTTCCCGGCTGGCGCTGTTATTGTGTCCAGGTAAGGAATTTTACAACCAATGTGTGTTACCAGTGATAACTTATGGCTCGGAAACGTGGCCTCTCACTGTAGGCCTTATACAGAAACTCAAAGTTGTATGCTTGGTGTTTCTTTGCGAGATCGAATCAGAAACGAGGAAACCCGTAAACGAACTAAAGTCACGCAAGCAAGCTGAAGTGGCAATGGGCAGGGCACATAGTACGCAGAACTGACGGCCGATGGGGCAGCAAGGTTCTGGAATGGAGGCCGCGTACTGGAAAACGCAGCGTGGGACGTCCACCTACAAGGTGGAACGACGACATCGTAAAGGTAGCAGGGAAGCGCTGGACGCAGGCTGCTACCAATCGATCAACGTGTAAAGCATTGGGGGAGGCCTATGTTCAGCAGTGGACGTCCTATGGCTGAAATGATGATGATGATGATGGTGAAGGCATTTAGTAGCTTAAGTGTTTGTGATAGGAGTGATTTTGCAATAACAGCTGCACGTTCAGGAACGAGGAGCCTCATTTCTCTTTCTACAATGATATGCAGATCACTGAGACGGTGAACTTCCCGGCTGGCGCTATTATTGTGTCCAGGTAAATTAGAGCTGAGTGGCTGAGTGGTTGTGATATGAGTTCTTTTGCGACAAAATTGACCATAAAATGGTTTGATATTAATGAAAAGTATTTTTTTCCTTATTATGTGGCAAAATATACTCGTAACATTGGTTTGGGCCCATGTCTGAAAGGCCTATCTCTTCTCTTTTAAAAACAGGGACAGAGACACTCAAAGTCATATCTTTTTATCTTCCCAGTCCGATTTTAATACTTGTGTAACGTGGATATCGAAAAGGCGACTAAGGAACAAATATGCGAACATCAGGTCTCCCCAACCCGTCAGTCTGAATTGGAAGTATTCTTAGTCCAAATCCTCCATTTCTACCTCTTGATGAGGATCGTGCTGTGAAGACTCAATGACCTGATGATGATTCCAGATGCAGCGACATTGGGAAGTACGCTATGACGGGGTCACAAGAGCGCAAATGCATAGGCGGGTCGTGGGACGGCGCTAAGCCCACCTGCTTCGGACTCAACCAAGAAAACGATTATGCCAGTAAGTATTAATCCAAGTATTTTTAAGTTAAGCAGATGTCCTAGATGATTCAGTCCAAGTTTCAATTCTATTGAGATCGCCACTATGGTTTCTGAATGGAGGTTTTCAGCTATGGCGTGCTCGTTTTTTACTAAAGTGTGAACATTACGTTCGTCTAAAGTTAGTCTCCGAGTCCTGCATCTATTATAACAGGGGTGGCCAAGTGGTCGATCGCGAATATTAGTCCAGTCGATCGTGGCAAGGCAAAAACTACATGATTGTGTACTGTTTCGTTTAAGATTTCAAGAAGTATGTAAGTGATAGATAGCCCAGGGTTTCGTTAGTAAACAGTAGATCTTATGTCTAATCAAGTTGGCCACCCCTGTATTATAAAATGTGTAAAGTGTAGTTTATTTATAGGGAACGATATATCATCCAACCATTGCGCTGTCTTGGATCCAACTTGAACCAGTAAGTAGGTACTTAGCTCTTGTAACATAAATTGAGTTTTGAGTAACAGCACGGACTAATATTATCTCGTAACATACAAAATTACCTGTAATTTTGTACTCACGTTAAAAATGACCATTTTATTCCAGAGCGCCATGACTAACTGAGACAACAGGTTTAAATTTGACTCCCTTTCCTTTGAGGAAACAAGTTCCGCACTTACAGGTTCCTTATAAAGTTGGGGTCATTTGTGCTAACTGCACTCTGACAAGAAAGTTTTTATAAAATTTTCGTCTCTTAAAATAAACGTAATTCAGTTACTTAAGCTTGCAATCAATCAAATCAATCAAAATTGTTAAGCGATTTTATTCTGATTTATTCGGAGTTTCTTGAACAAGAAATAGCAGAAAAAATAATACACAATAATTTATTTTAAGCAACTTTTACTTTTTTTTAAAACTTTAACGACTGTAAACTTATTCATTTGAAAGTTTTTCATCTTAGCTAATAATAAATTAATCAAATTGTTTATGATTCGAAAATAGCAACACGCTTCAGAGAGCACTTATAGCTGTTACAGTTACCTATAGTTGCTACAGTCACAAATTGTAATTTAGCTAATTACTCAAATATTTATTGCTGACCATAATACACACATGTTTTTAGAAACATTAATGTACCTACCCTGTCGGGCACGCAACTTACGAATGAATATGTCACCTTAAAATTGTGAATTCCGTCAGATTTTATTTTAGTTAGATTACAAAATCATCCACTGTTAGTTTACAATCTCACGCGTTATATTATAAACTGACGGAGTTCACAATTTCACGTTGACAAATATAAATCCAGTGGCAGTGAATTAAAAAACCAAAGCTTCTTACAAACTTCCGCACATTGTTTCAGTGGAGAAGCCTCCAACGATCCTCTTCAGGCACTCCCAAGGTCCCATCGCGCAGACCAACGACGGGAAACTGCTGGTGTACCCTGGTACAGTGCTGCATATGGAGTGCCTCTGGATGAGGAGGTTCGGGAACCCTAAGTGGAATGTCACGCATCATTATCCTGAGTGAGTTTTAATATAAAATTTTCGCGTCATATAATTTCCAAGTTCTCCCGCGACCTTCACCAGATCTTCGTTCCACCAAGAGAGAGGTCCGCCCACACTCGTGAAACTCAGTAAAACTCATTTATTTCTGTAAGTAGGCTTTAAAAAAAGCACTTTTACACGTCCCAACTCAAGAACTTTTCTGCCCCAATTGCCATCAGCTCTACGAGCTATGTGCCCCGCCCATTGTGTATATGCGGGCTGCTGCGTATATCCTTGGGGAAGGCCATGTGCAGTTTGACTTCTTATTACAGAATAATACTCATAACGGCCATTCTCACGATTAGGCGTTCTCAGCCTAATTACCATATCATTTTTGAAATTTGGCTTAATTGACTTAAACGCATTTAAATATGAAACACATGAAAAGTACGAATTTAACAATCGTTAAGGCGTCAAATTATTCCAAGCGGTTTTCGCGTAAATGAGACCCAAAAATTTTATGGTCACGGTAATTAGATAAGGCTAATACTTATTCCAACGGTAATTAGAAAAAATATGTAAAATAGCAAGAAAACAATATCTTGCATTGATAAATTTGTATATAAATATATAGCGTCATAAAAAATGCTCTAGGTACACTTAATAACCCTTTGAAAAAAGGAAAACACTCATTTCTATTATTTATTGTATCAAGATATTTTCAGTATACTGCAATAATCGAGGCTATAACAGGAACACTTAGTTTTGCCCAGAAGGGGCTACGTGTCACATTTGATCAGAATCTTAATCATCATTTATTTGATTTCAATGTGATACAAACGATTTAACGTACAGATAATGGATCAGGAGATCTCACAAATTTGATTTTTCGGATATGCATAATTATGTCGAAAATTTTTTTAATGATTTAAGTGATTTTTTCTCTTTTTAATCTATCTGCGATCAGCCATCACCCATTATCAGATTAAATTGAATTTGCAATAATGACTGTTCCAGCTCAGCATATCCCATGATTTGTCACCTCGATTCTTTTATAATAAGTTTTCAGATTGATGCTATTCGCTTTCTCCTGAGCCTAAATGCAGAAGTCTTAGAATTTAGAAGGGATGCAGCAAATAGATTTCATGAGGGTCTAGTCTTTGGTTGTAAGCTTTACAGGATTTTCCACACCCTCTTTGACGTTTGGTATCACTTCAGTGGACTTTGTAAACCAAGGTTATTTTGAAAACGTTAAAGTATTTCTACATTTGCGAGGCTAAGTCGATGCCATAATATGCATTTGTATACAGTGTGAGTCACGTTAAAGTGTACATATGAAAATAGATGAAACTGGACCTATTTTTATCGACAAAAAAGAGGTCAAAAAATTTTTGAGATTTTTTTTTAATTTTTTATAGAATTTTTTTTCTTCAAATTACTTATTGTAAAGAAAACGTAATAACTTTTAAACTAAGCTGTATATCCTGATAAAATAAAAACAGTAATAATGCTAAATAACAGGCGATACTAAAAAAATACATAAAATACACAAAAAATGCCAACAAATAATAAAAAATGATACTTTTTGAAAAAAATCTGCTTAAAAATTCGTGTTTTTTTGGTTATTTTATAAATTTCTCCAAAAAATGCCCCTATAACCGGTGGTTTTTATTACTTTGTATTATTTTCTATCGTATTATCTTTGTAAAACCAAAAATCGCATGTCTCTATCCCTATCACAACATTTGCTATGATCGTTTGAACTAAGCCTCTCCGGGCGCGCCATTCAACGCTTCGTTAACAACAAAACTGAAAATGGCTCTAGATTTGTAATTTTGATAAAGACAAGTTAGATTTCAAATAAAAACAAAAGATTTCGAAGTAAAATAAGCATTTTAGTTAAAATTAAAATTGTCTCTACCTGTAGCGGAGAATAATGTTGTGGCAGGCCTTTGTTCAAACGATCATAGCAAATGTTGTGATAGGGATAGAGTATGAAGGCCAAAGTACTGAATCTTTTTAAATTAACAACGTGGATCTACCTTCAAAAATCGAGTATAAAAATAAGGACATGGTAAATAGAAAAATTGAAAACCAAAGATATGGTAATTATACTCTTACGCAATTCATCGACGGTACGCCAACGCAATAGACGTCTACTTGCTAACAGGTCTTAGAACTAACTAAGGGCTCGCGCCGCGCGCGTAAATGATGTGTCAAATATTATTATTTAGGCTTGTGTGCCCAAAAACAGAAAACGTCACGGGAATTAGGACTTTCGCTCGGACAAGCAGTTTTTTAATTCTAATTATTTACAGAATGGTTCTATTGAATAGATATTTTGCTATGCGTAAGACAATCTTTTGTACTCTTTAAAATGTTGAATGGAGTAAACCAAATCTATACGACATAAAAATTACAGCCAAGTTTTAACATTAAGTCGGTGTGCGGACGCGAAACGGTAATTAGAGAACAGAGGTTCATGAAATTAATTAAGTCACAAATACTTAAAATAGAGGCCTATGATTTAATGCACAACTGGATAGGGTTGTTAAGTAACATATAAAAATACTTGCATGTCTCTAATTTGTCATTTTTAACGATTTAACAGCCCGGACACGCAAAAACTAGCTCATCTGAGAATGGCCGATAACTTGACGAAGGCGACTTAAAGGGCCTAAAAAAGTTCTCTATTACGAAGACATCACATCTGTTGAGTCAAAGGGTGGAATCCCTATGAGTAGTAACAAAATAACGGTCAGTTATCACTACTAGCATTACGATGGAACTGATATCGTAGGTAGGATATGTCGCGAGAAGCACCAAGATGAGGGCAGCGCAGGAAATCCTTGAAAGAGTTGTCCAACTAGACATCTATTTGGTTAAAAAAACTCATTCTAGTATTGTTATATTTTCAGTTCCGACCGCAAATACCCTGAAGGCTGGACCACGGATCCTGGCAGGGACAGCCAGCTGGAGTACCGTCTGAGCATCTTGGGAGCCGTGAAGGAGGACTCGGGAATCTACCGCTGCGAGACCCCTGCCAGACAGAGTCACCACGTGGAGATTATAGTTGAGGGTACGTTTAAGAAGAATAGGTTATATGACTACATTAAAAATGTATTTTACTGATTTATCATTAGTAATGGTTGTAAAACAGTCAAGATCAAATAAAATCTTCTTGACCCTGGTTTGGTCCATCCAGTATTAACTATACAAATCCGGCTCGAAGGACCATATCTGGAATTTCTTTAATCGTGCAGAATATCATTGTTAAGAACATTATAATTAAACATGAAAATATTTTAGTCAGATACTGATAAAACTAAGTTTTAGTTATCTTTAATCAGTCATCATTGACATTAAAACTTAATTGTCTTTAGATGTCCATTGTCCTCCCCTGCCAATAAGACGCGGGCTGGTCGCCAGTGGACTGGGCACGAGACTCGGCATCGAGATCCGGTTCCACTGCGCCAATGGAAACGCGCTGTTAGGTGCGCACGCGCTGACGTGTCGCGCATCTGGCAACTGGAGCGCGCCTCTACCTGTATGCGAAAGTGAGTCTTATCAGAAGGGAATAAAGTCTAGTTTTCACTCCCTTCCTTTGACAATAAGAAGCAGGCTGGTGGCCAGTGGACTTGGCACGCGATTTTTCATCGAGATCCGGTTCCATTGTGCGAATGGAAATGCGCTGTTAGGTGCGCATGCACTGACCTGTCGCGCGTCTGGCAACTGGAGTGCGCCTCTACCTGTATGCGAAAGTGAGTTTTATAAGTACCGAACAAAGTCTTATTTTCACTAAAAGTCCCGAGCTGCATGGATCAACAGCCTTAAGACAACTGGCAGAGTAGCTTGATAAAGTGATCTTCTTCTTCAACTGTGCCAATGGAAATTCTTTGCTTGATGTGCACGCGTTAGCCTGTCACGCGTCTGGCAACTGGAGCGCGCCTCTACCTGTATGCGAAAGTGAGTCTTATTAGAAAGGAACAAAGTCTAATTTTCACTGACTATCTCAAGTAGGATAGGTCGAGGGTTCAAGAAGATAAATGGCAGTTGCTTGATCAAAATCTAAGAGTGTACTGCAACAGCTGACAGATGATGATGATGCTCCACGGAGTAAATATTCTGCAACACGTGTCGTTACGTTATACGTCAGAATTCTTGCTACGTGACATTTTTCTTGTCGCGCTATTACGGGTGAAAACACCCTATATCGGTCCCTATTAGAGTAGGCGCACACCGTTGATTTTTAGTTGGCCGATAGTTGTGCCCGATTTTAATTTGTATCGGAAGAATCGGCCAAATCGAATCGGCGTAGTGTGCGCACTCCCATACATGCCCATACTGATCAACTGCCCGACTAAACTATCGGCCGATGAAAAATCAACGGTGTGCGCCTACTCTTACCCGAAAATGCTAGGCATTCACAAGGCGTCTTACAGAAGTACTAGTTTAGGTATTCTTAGAGATTTTTCCGATAAATGAGAAAAGCAACTTATTTTAATACTAAAATTCTCTTTTAAGGCGTAGAATGCGGGGACGTGGTCCACGACACACCACTACACGAAGGGGAGAGGCGCCCCCGAGTGGCGGTGGTGTCACGTGGTGTAGGGGGCCGCGCGGCTTTCTCGTGCCCCCCAGGGTGGGCCCTCAGTGGGGCCGCCGAGACTGTCTGCTTACCAGCCGCGGACTGGGCCAGACCCTTCCCTGTTTGTAGAGGTAAGTCTTACAGTCTCGATATTTGTGACGACATTTATGACATTCAAAAGTGTGATCTTGCAAATGTTGTGAATGACATGTGAGGTGGGGGGCCAAGCGGTCTTCTAGTGCCCCCCGGGGTGGGCCCTCAGTGGCTTAAGAATAGAATGAATGTGTTGTGAGCAAGGCCCTGCTAGTTTCACTGAAACCGAAGAAGCCAGTTAAACTCCTCCACGAAGGGGAGAGGCGCCCCCGAGTGGCGGTAGTGTCACGTGGTGTAGGGGGCCGCGCGGCTTTCTCGTGCCCCCCAGGGTGGGCCCTCAGTGGGGCCGCTGAGACGGTCTGCTTACCAGCCGCAGACTGGGCCAGACCCTTCCCTGTTTGTAGAGGTAAGTCTTCTGTCTTGGTTACGCTCGAAATAGTGGATTGAAGACTTGTTATTGCAAAGTGTGTGGATGTGAGGATCACTTTTGACTCGGCCAGATTTTTCAAGATCACGACCAGATATAAGGAGACACCAATGTGTCTCAATGATCTTTAAATGCTTGATCAGAATATACCTAAAGTGTAATTTTGATAATCGTATGATTGTCGCGTGGACTGGGAGGCAAAACGTCTTACCTACTCTTATCCAGTGAGGTGGACGTCCTGTGGGGAAATACGTCTAGAAAAGTATACCATCAGATAGTCGACACGTGTGTTTTCATTTCCTGCACAACTTTTATTCTCTACTTTACATCAAAATATCTTCCACAGAGGTATCCTGCCCAGCACTGCCTCCACCAGCATCAGGATACGTCCTCGGCCGAGCCCCATACAGGGCAGGGGACGTGTTACAGTTCCACTGTAACCCAGAGCACACGCTCCATGGACGACCCATCCTGGTGTGCCAGGACAGCGGCCGGTGGAGCGATAAGCCGCCTACTTGTGAGTTTGTGTGCCTTTCCAGGGGACTTGTATAAATCACTATTCCACCATACAGGGCAGGGGACGTGTTACAGTTCCACTGCAATCCAGAGCACACGCTCCATGGACGACCCATCCTGGTGTGCCAGGACAGCGGCCGGTGGAGCGATAAGCCGCCTACTTGTGAGTCTATATGCCTTTCCAGGGGACTTGTATAAGTCACTATTCTACCGTACAGGGCAGGGGATGTGTTACAGTTCCACTGCAACCTAGTGCACACGCTCCATGGAAGACCCATCCTGGTGTGCCAGGACAGCGGACGGTGGAGCGATAAGCCGCCTACTTGTAAGTTTATGTGCCTTTCCAGGGGACTTGTATAAGTCACTATTCTACCGTACAAGGCAGGGGATGCACTGTAGTTCCACTGCAACCCAGAGCACACGCTCCATGGACGACCCATCCTGGTGTGCCAGGACAGCGGCCGGTGGAGCGATAAGCCGCCTACTTGTGAGTTTGTGTGCCTTTCCAGGGGACTTGTATAAGTCACTATTCCACCGTACAGGGCAGAGGATGTACTGTAGTTCCACTGCAATGCAACCCAGAGCATACACTCCATGGACGACCCATCCTGGTGTGCCAGGACAGCGGGCGGTGGAGCGATAAGTCACCTACTTGTGAGTTGATGTGCCTTTCCAGGGGACTTGTATGAGTCGCTTTGTACCGCATTAGACAAGACATATGGTACAGTTCCACTTACCTCTGTGGATGCTTGATCCTGGTGTGCCAGGATAGCGGCCGGTGGTGGAGCGATAACCGCCTACTTGTGAGTTTATGTACATTTTCAGGGGAATAGTTTTTGTACCATGCAAGGCCAAAAGCGTATTTAATTTACAACGACCTGGAACATACGCTTTATGGAAAACCTATCCTGGTATACCATGACAAGACAGCTATCTGTGGAATGACAAGTCACTTATGTCAGTTTTGACACTTTTCCAGTGAATTTATACAGCTAAGCAGTGTTCCGTACAGGGTTAAGATATTGTATAGTTCTGCTGCTACCAGACTGTCTACAAGACAAATTCTTTTAATCTGCTGACGTTTATGAAGTTATTAGTTAATTCTTATTTTGTATTACTATATCCCACTAACCATCGCATTCTTCTCCAGGTGCCCAAGCGTGCACGTACCCTGGCACCACCATATCAGGCCGCATGTCCTCCGTCAAGTTCTACTACAAGATCGGCGAGACCGTCACCTTCACCTGCGAGCCAGGGTACAGGCTGAAAGGAGCGCCCATGCTAAGGTGTTTGAAGTAAGTTCATTGTTCGTTCGTTACTTCGTTTCAGCCAAATGACGTTCACTGCTGGACATAGGCCTCCCTAAGATTTTCCACATTGAACGGTCCTACGCTGCCCACATCCAGGCTCCTCCCGCGACCTTTACCAGATCGTCGGTCCACCTAGTAGGAGGCCTGCCCACGCTACGTCTTCCAGCCCGTGGTCGCCGCTCGAGAACTTTTCTGCCCCAACGGCCATCGTCTCTACGAGCTATGTTCCCCGCCCACTGCCACCTTGATTTCAGTTCATTGTACTAAACAATATTGGAACAAATGTATACAGGGTGACCCATTAGTTGTGAATTAAACTGATTTTACACTTTAATTCTTAGGGCTCGTTCCTATGGCAATCCAGTTTTACGAGTTCCAATTTTTTAAATTAGAAGGGATCGGTTTTTTGGGAACTGCAAACGCGATGTTCCTGTGAACGTTAATAATACCTACTCGTAATATTTAGACCAATCACAGAACATAATTTTGCACAGAGATTAAGTCGAGTTTTTTCGCTGTTTTGTTTTACCAGAGAGAAATACAAATGAGTAGGTCATCTTCATAGAAACGCACCGAGCGCGGTTTGTATGTGAGCGCGCGCCAATACGTATGCGGCGCGCACGCACACACTGACAAAATTTAGCGTGGATTAGCGGTGAGGTTTTACGAACCCAAGATTTACCCATGACAATGTACAGTCAACATCATAATTATGAGACTATTAGTAATACTTTTTTGTTGCAAAATGGCACAACTAGCTAACTTTCACGCTGTCAGCAGCTGTACATAATTCTAACCTCTTCAATTTAACCAACAGGAACAGAAAATGGTCGAACGCGATCCCGCTCTGCACTCCAAATTCCAACTTCACCACCTCAGACTCCTTAGCCATGTTGAACGGCGACATCGACGCCATGTTGTCTGACGCCGCCATCTTGTCGTCTGACAGTTTACGCACGCGCGAGACGCCCGCCATGCTAACTCCAGAGAGCTACAAAGCCGCTATGACGCGCGTCGCCGCATCGCGTCTGCTGCGTCGAGCGCCCATACAGTCATACAAAAACAGGATCTTTAGGGTCAACAGGCTGCTCAGAAGGGATAATGAGAGATAATTTTGGTCTAGGAAAAATTGTTTTATTGTGAAAGTAATTTACTTTTAGTTTTCGTTGCGTCCTCATTTCTATTTAAAAAAATATACTCAATCTTATATCTGGTTACATTTTGAAAGCGGATCAGACGAAAGTCTTCTTTGACATCGACGCCATGTTGTCTGACGCCGCCATCTTGTCGTCTGACAGTTTACGCACGCGCGAGACGCCCGCCATGCTTACACCAGAGAGCTACAAAGCCGCTATGACGCGCGTCGCCGCATCGCGTCTGCTGCGTCGAGCGCCCATACAGTCATACAAAAACAGGATCTTTAGGGTCAACAGGCTGCTCAGAAGGGATAATGAGAGATAATTTTGGTCTGGGAAAAATTGTTTTATTATGTAAAGTAATTTACTTTTAGTTTTCGTTGCGTCCTCATTTATCTATGATAAAAACTAAACAAATAATACTCAATAAAATTTTGTCCCAAAGCAGAGGATAATTTTACCTATTAATAAAAAAACAACAGAATACCTAAATGATATTTAACATAATATTTAATTACTTTATCCACTTTGTACTTTTAGGTTCATTCTGCGGACTAAATGATTTCATATTTAAGTACATCGCTTTAATCCTAAAATAAATTTATCAAAATTAATTTACATAAATTGGTGTTAAAAGCCTATAATTATTTAAGTAAGTAAACATCATGTTTTACTAGAAAATGTTACATTTTTTGTGATGTATTTGGCATTGTAAATGCAAAATTCCATTAAATATGTAAATTACCACTATTGGTTTATGTCAACATCCTATGAGCTAAGCAAGCGTGCTGAAAACTCTCACGAGCGCTATAAAAAATTACATTCATTATTGGAAAAAAAAATAACGTGTTAATTCTTTGTTAAAAAATAAAGCGCAGTTAAATAAAAAATATAAATAGTACACTATTTGATATTTTATGTTCAAATAATAGAACAGAAAGTTACCCACCTAGATCTCGATTAATACTTATTAAAATTAGGTGCAAATTACTTTGTGTTAATTACAATGGATTTGAATATTGACTAAGAGACTTTAAACATTTTGTAGTCTATAATGTTAGATTTTGTTCGATATTTTTTTAAAGACTGTTATAATTATATGTATTTTCAAAATACGATTGATATTGTTATAAATATTTAATATTATTTACTTATTATGTTTAAAAGTTGGATAATTTATTTTTCATGTTTATTAAAAACATGTAAATATGAATGCTTCGCCAAAGAAATCTAGAATACTCTTATAAATATAGTCTTTACTATGTAGATATAACTATTTCTATTAAATAGATAAGTGTTTAAGTTAATTATTAGTTTTACGAATTATAAATTAAGAAAAATAGGATTTTAACTAAATGTCGCTAGTTCTTTACCACGCACAAATATTTGGAAAAATTTTAAAATTATAAATTGCTACAAAATTAAGACCAGTTTTAGCACAGTATCACGTTTTAAGAGCAAAAAAAATAATTAATAAATACCCCCAAAAATAATGCTATTTTCTTAATTTATATATTTTTGAACAAAAAAATTAGAATACTTTTTTAAATATTTTTTTAAGTTGAACAAAAAATCTATTTAATTTTTTTTCATGACTGTACTCCAACTGGTCTTAGCAATAGAATGCATATCAAAAACATAGCATATCTTCTAATTGTATTTGACGAAATTAATGTAAATGGCGTGTTTCTAATCGTGTATACGTTTTATTCAAATTACCATACATCTGTTCCAATACTGAAATAAAAATGAAATATTAAAGACGAGCAAAGTTGTGTTTTTATATCCTGTAGCATTTTAATGCTTAAATAAATGAATTAAATGCATTCCTAAATCAAAACTGAACTTGCATTAGAATAACCCAGTTTTTATGAAAATATTATGCAAACAAGTAGGTACGCAACTTACGTCATCGGCAAAAAAAATAAAATTTAAAAGGTTTTTGATGAATGACTCACAATTATGTATCGCAGGTAGTAAAAGGACACCCGTCAAAAAACCTTTTAAACTTCTAAGAAGTTACCTTTAGGATTTTTTCTGCAAAGAATCTAGGCGTGCAGTTAAAAACCGAAAGTCCCCGTTTTATCCGATGCAATTTAACAATAAATCGGTAACGTACAAAGAATTAACGGTGCATTCGTCTTGCATGGGCCGGAGTTGCACCGGATAACGTGATACGCCAACAACAGTACATTCAGTATAACGCGCGTCGCGCCAAGCGCTTGACGTCCTCGAAGTTACGCGTTTTCGCGCCAAAACGCGCTCAACTTTCCGAATGTGACAGCTCGAATCTGACAGCTCTGTGTTTACTTTTAATTTCAAAAATATGTGGCCAGTTTGAAAACCAAAAAGTTTTTGTGTGCAAGTTCTCCATGGTGTTTTTGTTATGTGCGATGGCGTAATCCACGGACGGCGATAACTCACGGAGGTTTGTTAATAGATTTTGTCGTTGACTTCTAAACGTACCTACATTTTGCTGCAATTAAGATAAAATTCCATTCCTACACGGTCGTTTCTGGCCTCTTTATGGAGCACCTCTTTTCACCGATTTGTTCTTCTCGCATTTATCATAGATAAAAGTTTGTTTTTATTTGACCACATTAAACTTCGGTGAGAACGCTCGGGCGTGAAATAAGTTTTTTGTTGCAAGACAATTCTCTATTGTCAGCAGATAAAGATGAAAATGGCTTGCACAAGACAGTGTTCTCTTAAAATGAGGTCTGATTTTTGTGTAAAAATGTTTGAGAAGAGGCAATCATCAATAGACACAAAAAATGTCTACCTACCTCCATTTCGAGCGCAGATAATTCGGTATCACCTCATTTTATATCTACCTATCTAACAATTAAATTGATAACAGCAGTATAATTAATCAATAATATCAGTCAGTACTAATTTCAAAATAACATGCGAAGATTTAAAAAATCTAATTAGGTAAGTAAGTACAGTCAAAAACAAAATATGTATCTCCAAAGAGTTCTCTTGTTCATTTTACCTTATTGATCAATGCTTGAAAATCGTGGGTTATTCCGTAGTTTAAAGGGAAAAAAAATCCACGACATTTTATTTCTTAGGTAGGGTACTTGTAAATATGTAACCAGTCAACATTGAGTAGTGATCTTCTTTACGCCAAAAAAACTCCACCGAACCTGTCAAAATGTAAAAAGCATTATGTATCAATTTCTTTTAATTTTTTAAGTTTGAGATGCGACTTAAACACTAAATCAACTCCAATAACATCAAAAATATCGCTCCGATTAAACCGTAATAATCAAATCAATCTTAAACACATGCGGTATTTAATAGTTGAAAGATATTCATATTTTTCCTATGCGTGTAGACTCACATTCTAGGTCGCCAGTGAAAATGTGCTCGCAAGCCATTTGCAACCATCCAGTTCTTGCCAGGTTGAGATTACACATCAATGATTGTCTCGTGGCAAGAAGTTTTAAATGTTGAAACCGTGATTAGACTAGTTCTACTTTTGCTGTTAACAATCGGTATTTTAGCAAAACAGCATTCGTTTTACCTAGTGTATAATGAGGTAGACATTTACGGGACTATTCCCACCTCTCGTTCCCATCGTTGCAACTCCTGTATAGCCAGAATCTGCAGCTTGACCGTACAAACCCAACCAGTAAAGGTCAAGTTTGTCTCGGAAGAAAGTAAAAGGTCAAAAATTATGTTTGCTGACATTTGTGTGCTAGTCAATTCTATGCAAAGGTTGATTCGTGGGATTAGATGCTACGAAAATAAGGTTTTTCGGAAGAAGACCAGAACTAGGGGTCGCAAACCGGGATACCGAATTTCGAAAATACCGGAATACCGGGCCAAATTTAGGTCTAATTAATACCGGTATTCATTTCACAAAAACCGGGATTTTCGGTATTTTCGGTTTTAGTAAAATAAATAAAAACAAATACAAACAGAAAAATTTACGCGCCGTTTAATTCAAATACGCGCGCGCGAGTTCGTTTTGAGTTGATTGAGTGATAGTCGACGTAAACTCCGCCGCCAACGTCCTGACACCTCTCATCGAAAACATCTGGATGGAAGAGGAACTACCAGACGACTGGAATAAGGGGCTTTTAATTACTGTGCCAAAGAAAGGGTACCTAAGCCAGTGTAGCAATTGGAAAGGTATCACTTTGCTCTCGATACCGTTAAAGGTTTTCTGCAAGATTATCTTGGATAGGTTATCGGGAGCCGTTGAACCTCTTTTGCGTAGGGAACAGGCTGGCTTCCGCCCGAACCGCTCGTGNCTGCCTTCGCCGAATTTTCGGCATTTATACTGGCCTGAGAAAATCTCCAACGTCGAGCTATTGGAACGCTGCCACGAAATTGCGATCGACCAGCAGATCAAGCTCCTCAAGTGAAACTGGATTGGCCACACTCTCCGAAGAGATCCCGATCACATCCCCATGCAGGCTCTGGATTGGAACCCCCAAGGAAAACGCAAACGCGGTCGCCCCAAGCAAACTTGGCGGCGCACTGTGGCAGACGAGGCGGAGAAGATCGGCAAGACTTGGAGTGAGATCAAACGCGAAGCTCAAGACCGAACGCGACGGAGGACTGTTGTGGACGCCCTCTGCCCCATCTAGGGGACATAGGACCTTAAGTCAAGTAAGTCAAGAGTGTTAAAAGATACTTTACTGTTTCTACGATCTCATTACAAGGCCTAAAAATTTAATTTAGATTTAATAATATTTAGATTACCTCTTTATAACTCAATTTGATTTGGACTGAATATTGTTTTATTTAGAAGATAAATTAATTTAGGTTATGTACCTACTTACTATACCTACGCAAACTGACTTTATTATACTAAATTTGCTAAATTAAGCTTAATCTCGGAAATATCGAAAATACCGGATTATCGATATTCGTCTGGAGCCAATACCGAAAATACCGGTTTGGCTGAAATGATTCGGTATTGCGACCCCTAACCAGAACCAACTGCACAAACAAGCGGAATATCAAGTCTTAAAGAGCTTCTTAGAAGGTTTATAAGGTACAACAGTGGACTGCCATTGACTGAATTTAACAATCAATCATAATATTCTTCAATAAAACAGTTTTTCAAGAAGCTTACCAAATTTTCTAGGTATAAACCCTGGTGTTCCTAAAATAAATAAATGAATATACGCACCGCACATTCGCGCAGGTATAAATATAAAAAAATATGGCAAATAACAACCTTAATTATTGCATTACATACTCGTAGAATAAATAAAAAGTGATATAATACGATCGTGCTTACATATTTACGCAATAAAATATGGGCCAGGTACCTAAGCAAACAAAAGGTAGGTAGGTATACTACCGATCTTGCGTGATTACTTACTTTAATTCCTGTTTTCACATTTATTATAGCTTCCCTATCTTCTGGCCGCGGCTTTACCTGCTTGGATTTCGGACTGCCTTTAATTTTTTAACTTGCCCTTCCCGCGATGTTCAAATATTCATACAAATAACATTTGTATTTGCCGCTCGACTATTGTGGTGAGCCCACTCGTAACACAAGCTTATTTAGGGGTACACGAGGGGCTAATGGGACTATTAGTTATTTGGGCAATACAAATTGTAAAAATCATTTGAATACCTGTCTCTACATCAGGTGTAAAAATCTATCTTTTGTTTATTAACCTCTTGAAGGTCGCAAGATGTCGTATGTCCTCCCATCCTAAGTCCAATATCTCAAAAATACGTACTTAATTCGAAAATATTTTTAAATAATTCAAACTTTTTTTCATAGTTTAAAAAACTGGTTGATTTTTAGGTTACAATTTAATGAAACTTACCTAGGTATCTATGGAATTTTTAGGTCGTTTTAGTGTTATTTTTAATCAAGTCTTTAAGGTTAAATGGTGTCAATCAAATACCCAATTAAATATCAGACTAACATTGATAAATAATTAATAAGATTGGTGTAATCAACAGTTAGCATCGTGATAAAATCATGTGTGTGTCATCTTGTTTACAATAATTATTATAAAGAAAGATGTCAAGTCTATTTTTATTGTTTAATAACAATTACCTATCTTTAATTTGAAAATTATAAACAACTTGAAAAAATCGAACTGCCTAAGGCGGGAGTTAAGTTATTTATAATTTTCAAATTAGTTTGAGATGCGACTCTTAACGCTAAAAAATTAAATAATTATCTTTAATTAAATTACTAAATTAAATAATTATCTTTAATTAGTTTACTTAATTGGTTACGACTTTAAACTTTTACACAGACGGACTGATTGTTATGAAGCTCGTTTCTAATCAAAATATTTAAACTTTATAATGCAAGCTCTACCATAAATTTCATTGCGCATTAAGTAGTGGTTAATACTTATTAGTATGTAAAATAGGTATTTAGTATTTAGGTAAGCCAAATCAAACAGTCATTGTGTGAGAAACAATAATAGTTTTTTGTATTGTCAAATAATTTCAACAGCGTCTGGAGTTCAATTCAAGGGAGTGTCAAATCGTATTAAAAATCATCAGTGTCAAACTGTCAATCCAAGCCGTAAAACAAAACCTTCGCCCATTATGTAGGTGTAATGACTGCGGATGGAAACTTGAACTAAAGAAGGCTACTTGATTCTTCATAATATTCAGGATGTCCTAGTTTGGTAATCATAGTACTTAGACTCTTAGAGACCTACATCTATAGGCACGCCAAGATAATAATATTTTTAAGCCTTTCCGTCGCTTTTAATGGCTTTTAAAACAGTAGGTATATTATTAAATAATCACTTTGTCAATTAGGCTAGAACGAAAACAACTAGATTAGAATGAAAATTAAAGCCACCACGATCATCTAACTAAAGTATTTATAGTTATATTGAATAATTACGGAAATAATTAAAACTAAACCTAATGGCGCAGTTACACTATGCGAGAACTTTATCGAGAGATATAGTGTAAACACCCACTTCAGTTAATATCGCCGTTAGTCGTCCATATTTCGGTGTGCGTGCTCGCGTTTCGTCTAGTGTGTAACTGCGCCATAACACTAACGCCTGTTCACAAACATTACTATGAATAGAATAGAATAGAATAGAATTTCTTTATTGCGGTAAATGTGGTACAAAGTAGTGATAAATAATGAATGTTCGTTTCACACATCTAACCAACGACAATTGGCATGCAACATACAGTGAAACAGAAAGCACACAATTATGTCCAAATAAATAAGACTCTAAGACTATAAAAATTCAACTAAAATAATTAATTAATTAACAATGATGATATTATACATTCAATAATAATAAACAAAATACATTTCGATTAAAAAAAAAAATATATATATATATATAATAGAAAAACAGTGTCAATTTCTTTAAAATTTGCAATTAATAAATTCATTTATGCTATAAAAACATTTGTCGCTTAACAATTTATAAAGCTGGTATTTAAATTGCTTAGTGGGTA